CCAAAACCCTAACTCCCATTCATTCCATACATTTCTATTACTGCTGCTGCTCTGATAGCAGCTCCCATCATCTCTCTCACATACTGACTTGAGCGTCGGAGGCTCTACGCCGGAAAAACCCTCCGGCGTTGAGTTCTTGCAGGTGTTCGTACGATTCAGCAACGGCTCGAAGGTCATCAGGCCAGATCTAAGCTCGTTCATACCGGTTCATCCCAGATCCGGACGTTTTCTTACCAAACCGTTCCAGATCTGAGAGCAGACCCATCAATAATATAAAAAAAGAGAAAGAATGAACAAATGTCCAATAAAGATTGATGAAAAATTTTTAAACCTAATATGCTCTTAAATAAAATATCATTGGAATGGTAATTTATAACTGGATGATTGATTTTTATACATCTTTTATTTTAATTATTTTCTAACAGAAAAATGATAGTTGTATGTAGTTAGTTGGATTGTTTTAATTGAGGGTCTGACTGATTAAACCAGCTCTTATAAATAGATCTATTAACTATTACCTTCTATATATATTATATTTTTTTAATTATTTGATTAATTACGTTAAGAATTAGGAATTTTCACTAAAATGAATTTCATTTAATCAATGAATATTAATATTAAAATACAATATAGTACATAAAGGGTGTCTCTCTGTGGGCTATATGGGCTATATGCAATAAATGGAAATAACCAAATCGACCGAATAATATATAATATATATTATATTTGTATATATATTATAATATAATATATATACCTAATGATTAGAACGGTTTGACCAAACCGACCAAAACCAACAAAGAAGTTCGGTTGTTAATGTTCTGTTTAAATTGATAATTCGATCGATTTCGGTTATTGACATAGTATGGTTCAATTATTTCATTTTCTTAATTCGGTTCGGTTATGGATGCACATCCTTAATTGTGTCCCTCCCCTTTCAAATTTCTGCGTCCGCCTTGAACTAAACACATAAATAAATAAACAAAACAAAGGACTAAAATTACAAAAGGTGATAAAAGAAAGGGAAAAAAAGGTAAGAGAAAAAAAAAAAAGGCCAATTCCCGCGTATCGGCACGCACGCACGCACGAACGTACAGTAGAATTCCCTTTCGATGATCCCTAAACCCCAAAATCCATAAACCCCAAATCCCTAAATCAATACACTGAAATGGCTTCCCGCGACTCTCGCGTTAAAGATCCATTGTACTGTCGCAAGGAGAAATCTCTCGGCCTCTTATGCACCAAGTAAATCGAAAATTTTCAGCACCACATCAGATTAACAGAGCACGCTTAGGGCTTGATCTGCAACAGTCGATCGATGTTTGCTTTTGTTTTTTGTTTTTTTCTGCAGCTTCCTGAGGTTGTACAATCGCGATGGTGTAGAGTCGATTGGGTTGGACGATGCCGCTTCTCAGTTAGGTATGTTGCTTGGCTGCTAGCTCGAGCCTTTTGTATTCCACATGGAGTTGAAGCTGATTTTGTTGGTTCCTTCAACGTTGTGATCAGGTGTTGAACGGCGAAGAATATATGATATTATAAATATATTGGAGAGCCTCTGGGTAAATTTCATATCTGTTAGTGTAATGAATTTCGTGATAATTAACCAATCCTGTAAAAAAAAGTTGTGAAATCAGGTTTTGGAGAGGAAGGGTAAGAGTCAGTACACTTGGAAAGGTTTTGGCACTATACCTGAAGCTTTGAAGTTCCTTAAGGTTGCCGTTCGTTTCGTTTTCTTTTTCTTTTGTTTGGCTGTGTCATGTGAAAAGTTTCGAAAAGTTGGCCTAAATCTTTGAACAGCTGACTTTTATTCTGTATTAATTGTTTTGCAGGATCAGGGAGTGAAAGAGGAGTTTGGTGCCCATATTTCTGATGTACTCTTTTAGATTTTTATCTTGTTGAGTTTGGATTTTTTGCTTTCCTATTGTTGACATGCTGAGAGAATAGAAGTTTTGAGTTCCGTAGTGAGGAGTGTATTCATGCAAACTAACTGTATAGATTTTCTCTTTGCAAGGTCCCAAACAAGGAAGAATGTGGACAATCTCAGTCAAAGACTGACGGGCAAGACAGATATCCTGAATCAGACAAAGGTGGTCTGAGTGCCTCACGTATATGATTGTCGATTTCGAATATCTATATTACCCTTCATAATGGTGAACTGGTGTTTCATTTACTTTATCCAATTATGGACATCAGCTTGAACTGGATCTTTGTTCATTGATTTTATAGAACACAAGAGGGAAAAATCATTGGCTCTGCTGGCTCAGAATTTTGTGAAGCTTTTCCTTTGTTCTGATGTAAGTAGTGCATCAATGTAGGGTATGAAAGATCAAGCAAGCTAGTTGAATTGTGCTCCTTATGTTTGTCTATCTTCAGGTGGATTTAATATCACTCGATCGTGCTTCATTAGCTTTGCTAGGGAATGTTCATGACCCAAAGGCTATGAGAAGTAATGAAACTTTCACTTTTTTGAGCTTCAATATGGTGAAATATGCGTGATGCGTTTATCTCTCTTATATTAACTTTGGATTACTTCTTCAGCAAAGGTCAGGCGCTTGTATGATATTGCAAATGTGTTTTCATCAATGGGACTTCTTGAAAAGGTGAGTTTATTTACTGTTTAATGCAAACTCTAAGTCCATCTAGGGAATTCGTTGAAGAGTTCAGTTTGTTTTGCATCAAACACTTGGAAGAAGAAAAAAATAGGGATAATTACTGGAGACCATTTTTTTATGTAAGTAGTTTCTTGTAGTTGGGAGGTTTTCTTCGTCCAGTGCAATTTTTATGTCTTTAGTACCTTGAAGGAGTATTCTTATTGAACCACTATTACTACCTTATATGATTTGATAGCTTAGCTTCATCTTAGTCTTTCTGTATTTTATTTTCACTGGTCACCTACAGTCTTTAAATTAAATTAGTTTGTTTTAAATGACATCTGCAATTTTACAGACCCGTGATCGTGATAGTGGAAAACCAGCATTTCAGTGGATAGGCATGGGAAGAGACCGTGCATATGGATCTTCTATTTCACTTGATGTTAAGAATCCCAAAAAGAGAGAATTTGGGAACGACATCACGAATACATTGGTTAAAAGAAGCAATACTAACGCCTCGTTTGCCTGGAAATTGAATGATTCAGTCAATAAGGAGAACTGTTCGAAAGACAAACACAAACTAAAAGGTGCAAATGATGGTTCATCAACCGAGCAACTCCAGAAAAATAGCCAAAAGAATTTTGTGTTTGGTCCCTTCACTCCAAATGCAACCACCTCAGCAGATCAAGGAACCAGAAATAGCGGGCAGATTCAAAACCAAGAGAGTCTCCCTTTTGCTTCTCAACCTAAGTATTCAAATCAAGGTACTACCAAAACTTTTCGGTTAAATGTTGCGAAAATGATTCGTGATGAGAAATGATTTGAGGTGAATATCTCCTTGTGGTTGTAACTTCACGTGTACAGTCTTGTTGATTTATCTTGTAATGCTCATTGTTATATTTACCCAAAAAACGAAATTTTTACTCACCGTATCAAAATTTTTTGTACCAATGTTTTTGTAGGCTTTGATTCTATATGCAAATGTCGTCAATACAATATCTCCATGTTTGTGTAGTCTTTTGTCTATATTTGTTTCGTAACTAAATTGATCGCTGTTTACAGGATAAGACTAAAACAACATGGATAGAATGTATTGGTATGCTGTTCTATTTTCACAAGTATTGCAAAGCTAATAGAAGATTGAAGTTTTAATCAAATATTGTGGCAGCCATTTATGAGCTTTTCCAACATTATGCTGAAGCTTGGAAAACCTGGCATCATGTCGAAGCTGAGAATAAGCAGGAGACGAACCCTGGTCCGGGTTCATAATCCACGTTCAGCTCTATACAATCTACATCCATTATCTTGTGAGACTGGAGCCAAATGTTTGTTTTTCTTTTGTATATTTTTCTGTTGATTGATGAATGGGCACATCCCTCAACCTGGTACTAGCTTTTGCGTAATAACTGATAAGCATATCTTGCACACTACAAATCTGTAGCACTTTTTTCTTTTGTTCGTCAGAACAAGAATTTTGTTTATATCAGGTGATTTTTAGTTGCAACTTTGCGGCATTCTATTATTTTGTCTATGATATTGATAACTAGAATTTTGTGCAACTTGATACATGGTGATTAAAAACTGTCCTCTCAACAGTCTTTTATATTAAAAGGAGCTTGGATACAATATGATAGTCAAAGTTGATATTTATAAAATAGCTTGATATAATTTAAAATTGAAAATGCACGAGCGAGTTAATATTAGTATCGTCTATACTTATAATTTGATAAAATTCATGCTTTCAACGTTAATCAGTAATGGAATTTATATGATGATAAAAAAATTATAATAAGAAACATGTATTATATTTTAAAACATTTGAACAAGAAAATATACTTATTCGACCGGTCCTGGACCGGCCCGCCCTAGCCGGATTTTGAACCAACCCGGAATCCCTTAAAGGCCGGTTATTGGTCATGTTGTACTCCTTTTGAATCCGCCGGGCCGGGCCCACCATCGGGTTAGGTCGGTTCATAGAACCGACTCTTAGATATATCCGGGCCGGTTACGGGCCCAACATTTGAGGCCCTCCGACTTGGCAGGCAGGGCCAGGTCATGAACCGGCCCGGACTTTGGCCACATAAGCAGGGCCGGGTCATGAACCGGCCCCAACTTTGGCCACTTCTAGACTGGAAGTATGACATTTTATATTTTTTTTTTTGGTACATAGACGGGCCTGAGGCCCTAGAATTACGAAACTAGAGTGTGGCGGGGGTATGTAACCCCACTAATGTCGTGGCCAATCAATGGTTTCACCTCTGGAGGGGGTGACGAGATCCTTGTCAATCCTAACGTAGAGTCGGCTGCTAGTGATGCCATAAGGTCTGCTACGCTGTTGGCTTCGCGATGCACATGTGTAACCCGGACGATCCAAGGCCGTTGTACCAAGTTCCGAGTTGCACGGACTAGAGACTCGTGGGCGCCAAAGTCATCTAGTGGCCCCAGGACCATTTCCACCGTGCTCTGACTGTCGACTTCCGCTTCAACCTGCCGGAAGCCCAGATCCCAGGCCAGCTGTAGCCCTTGAAATAATCCCCATAGCTCAGCTCCAGTAATAGTACCAGGCCCAATGTTCATAAAAAATCCCTCAACCCATTGACCGAGATCATTTCGCACCAAACCACCTGCGCTACAAAGTCCCGTAGTTCGATTGTATGCCCCGTCGGTGTTCACCTTGACCCAGCTGGGTTCCGGCGGGTGCCACTGAACCATGCGAACTGTGTGCATCGCTGCTCCTACTCGGACGTATGCCTCGGCAGCCTTAATATACGATTCAGTTTTACGGAGAATCTCCGAGACTCGGGCCTCAACACTCATCGACTGGTTCTGGAAGATACGCTCATTACGCCATCGCCAGGAGCTCCAAACACCGACCGCAAATTTGCTGCTCCAGGTCTTGTCCTGCCTAACCGGCACCCCTCGTAAGTTGTGTCGCAGCCACGCGCGAAGCGGCTGTTGGAAGAACCAGCATGTAGCAGGGCCCGTAGGGAGGAGTTGATACCACATATTCTTTGTGCTCGGGCAGTCCCGCAGAACATGTAATGTCGATTCGGTTTCGCCACATACATCACACTCGGCCGAGGCAGCGAGGTGTCGCCGGGCTCTCTCGCCGTTGGTAAGTAATCGATCATGAGCCGTTAACCACAGAAATGTTCGAATCCTTTGCGGTGCCTTTGTGCGCCAGATAAGTCTCCACAGCAGGCGGTCCGGTCTCTCGGCTGCGAACCTAGAGCGCTGTATGCTGACCTCGTGGAAAATCGTCCGTCATGGGAGGCGCCCCACACAAGTCGGTCCTCCCCAGTTGATTCTCTCGGAGTGGCGATCCCGGCGATCCTCATGATAACGGCTGAGGGGAGAATGCCATGAAAGTCATCCCATTTCCAATTGCCCCTGTCATCCACGAATTCCGTTACCGATAAATTAATTGAATCAGCGGGCGGCCGTTGGAACACATAATTAATAAGCGGGCCGAGTGTGCCGGCCCAGGAGTCGAGCCAAAAGCGCACGGTTTCTCCATTACCCACAATCCACCGAGCTTCTCTCATGATATGGGGCCAGATTTTATGAAGAGACTTAATAAGTGGAGATCCTTGCCGGCAGCGGGGGTTATCTAGGCCATTCAGGGGATCGAGCCCATACTTAGCAATCAAAAGTCTCGCCCATAAGGAGTTCCTTCTTGTTAGAAGACCCCACCCAAGTTTCATGAGGAGTGCGTAATTCATTGTTCGTAAGTCCTTGATTCCGAGACCACCCTCATCCTTGGATTTGCATACATCCTTCCAAGCGACAAGGTGATTTTTTCTCTTCTCGGCCGTACCACCCCAAACGAACGCCCGGCTTCTACGTTCTAGACCTTCTATAACGGTGCCCGGAAGTAACGCGGACTGCATGGAAAAATAGGGTAATGAACTAATCACCGACTGGGTAAGAGTGACACGTCCCGCCAAAGAGAGGGATTTCATCCTCCACCCCGCCAACCGCTCCTCCGCCCTAGTCAAGATATGGGCGAAGGTCGATTTGGTAACTCGACCATGGATAACCGGTATCCCCAGGTACTTTCCAAGATTGTCAGTCCGTTTGAAATGAAGTGCATCCGCCAGACGGTGTTGCTTTTCGAGGCCCACGTTGCGTGAAAAGAAGACTTGCGTTTTTTCCGAGCTAACCCTGAGGCCCGAGAGATTGTAAAAGTGATCGAGGACTTGGTTAAGGATCCTTGCTTGATCTTCTGAAGCTTCCAAGAATAGGAGGAGATCGTCAGCGAACATCAAGAATGGCACATTAACCGCCCCTCTCCCAATAGAGATCGGTTTCCAAGTTTGTCGATGGACCGCCTGGTCAATGAGTTGGGCCAGCCGCTCCATACAGAGCACGAAGAGGTATGGGGAGATAGGGTCACCTTGCCGAACCCCTCTGGTGGGTTGGAATTCGTCTCCAAGAGCTCCATTCCAAAGCAGTCTCATCGATGAAGACCGAACACAAGCCATGATGGCCTTGATCATTGAGTTGGGGTAGCCGGCTAGGTGTAGGGTTTCTTCGATAAACTCCCATCGAAGAAAATCATAGGCTTTCTCAAGGTCCACCTTGATAACCATATGGCCTATCGCTCCTTGTTTACGGCGCATGGAATGGATCAGTTCGTGCGCCACAACAATATTGTCGACGATCTGGCGCCCTGGGACAAAGCTGGCCTGGGCCGGGTGTTGTGTACAAATTATTCTTTTTACCGAGTACCGAATCGAAAGATTCGTTCCCCGGGTCGATCTCACGAGGAAGACGGTTCGGAATTTAGTTCTGATATCGATAACACATAAAAGCAAAGAAAATCCTAAACATACTAATCAGATAAGGGGGTTGAATTATCAGCTAAGAAAGAACATAAAAATAGTAATCTACCTAAGAAATACGAACGAAACAATGAAAAAGAAGCTAGGGAGTCGGGGATAATTAATTCAAGTTCTAGCAAAACTGGGCAATCAATTGTTCGGTTCGAGATTAACACTCTCGCTTAGGCATCTAGCGGTTCGCTCCTAATAACTCTTCGTAACAAGGGATTGAACATAGACGAACAAGTTCGAGCATACGACACAGGCCAATTATCCCAATCCCAATAACTTTTCGTAACAAGGGACGGGTCATTGACAATTGCGTATTTCAATCTAAAGCACGTAGATTAGTCAATTACAACATCATCTACCTCATGTAAGCCTAAGTCTACGACTTCTCCCCTTTCGGTTCAAAAAAAGTCGCTAATTTAACTAGAAGAGTATTAATCGACTAATCATATAGAATCAATGAAACCCTAACTCGACTAATCAACATTCAATTGTCACCAATTGCAAGATCGAAGTGTCACTCTTCGATTATATCAATCAATCAAGAAAGAACATATCAATCCCTAATCGAAACAACTCACATAAGAAAGAACAATTTCAAACCCGAGAGATGCACGTTAAACAAGAACAATCATTCCCCTATCCCTAGCGATAAGATTAGCTACGTAAATTCAATCCAACACACATAATCAATTCTCCCAATTCAACCATTATTCATGAATTAAACATAAGAGAAAAGAGACTTATGATTAATCACAAATCCAAGTGTTGAATATCAATTACAAGCTTAATCCCAAAAGGAAGAACAATTTATAGGTGAAAAATGGAAAATAAAGATAAAAAGAAGAAGAAAAATGGAGAAGAAGAAGAAGAAGAGAAGAGAAGGAGAAGAAGGGAGTGTTCGTGGTTTCTTGGGACCTAGGGTTTGCACCCCGGTCGAGTTGGAAGTGAAAGAATGAAGAAGAAAACGAGTTTTTGGGGTTTTTATATCATTTTGGGACTTCCAGGGGGCCTTAGCGCCGCTAAGGGGGTTAGCGGCGCTATGGGATGAAAGCCCGAGCTGCTGGGGGTCGTTTTCATGGTGTAACGCCGCTAGGTAAGCCAGGCATAGCGCCGCTAAGGCCTTAGCGCCGCTATGGCCTGGGCAGCGCGACTTCGCGTTTTTGGCTCGTTTGGGCTCGTACGAACTCGGAATTGAGTTCCGCTTTTTCCTACGCGTCGCTAACGAAACCCTCTTTCTAATGGTGTCAGCTTTTCCAAAAAATTCTCAGAAACCTGTTCTCCCGAAGCTCTCGACCTACACACCAAAAATGAAAATACAAACGGAAGACTACCGGAAAATACATAAGAATTACCGGGGCACTCAAGACAACACAAAACACACGATAAATGACAAAATGAACCTAAAACCAATCAAATAACTCGAAATAGGGGAAA